CTTGCGTCGTTTTTTCTACGAAACGGTCTTCTACAAAAGAAAAACTTTTCACCGCTTCGGGCTAAGTACCTCCTTGTGGTGCCTTCAGCTCTGCGACCAGAACTCCTGCAGGCCCTCCACGACGATCCGACAGCAGGGCACCTCGGTGTTTCTCGCACGCTCGCGAGGATACAAGAAAGGTACTACTGGCCGCGTCTTACCGCCGACGTCACTCGTTATGTGAGGACATGCCGGGACTGTCAGCGACGCAAGACACCACCGACAAGGCCAGCGGGACTTCTGCAGCCAATAGATCCACCATGCCGACCTTTCCAGCAGATTGGTATGGACCTACTGGGGCCGTTCCCGACGTCGGCTTTCGGAAACAAGTGGATCGTGGTAGCTACCGACTACCTCACCCGCTACGCCGAGACAAAAGCCCTGCCAAAAGGCAGTGCATCCGAGGTAGCTAAGTTCTTCGTCGAAAATATCGTCCTACGTCACGGCGCCCCGGAGGTCCTTATCACCGACAGAGGAACGGCATTCACTGCCGACTTAACTCAAGCGATCTTGGCATACAGCCAAACAAACCACCGCCGGACGACAGCGTACCACCCACAGACCAACGGCCTCACCGAGCGGCTTAACAAGACGATCGCCGACATGCTGTCAATGTACGTCGATGTCGAACACAAGACGTGGGACGCCATTCTTCCGTATGTGACCTTCGCATACAACACGGCGGTGCAGGAGACGACGCAGATATCTCCATACAAATTGGTCTACGGAAGGAGCCCGACAACGACGCTCGATGCCATGTTACCCAACGTCACCGACGAAGAAAACATCGATGTGAGCGAGTACCTTCATCGCGCCGAAGAAGCCCGACAACTTGCGCGGCTCCGTATCAAGAATCAACAGACGACCGACAGCCACCGTTACAACCTTCGACGACGCTTCGTGGAATACCAGCCCGGTGAACGTGTTTGGGTGTGGACGCCGATACGCCGACGTGGACTAAGTGAAAAGCTTCTGCGACGGTACTTCGGACCGTACAGGGTGGTTCGACGTCTCGGCCCACTTGATTACGAGGTTGTCCCCGACGGCATCACGAACTCTCAACGACGCCGATCGCGACCTGAAGTCGTCCATGTCGCACGCCTAAAGCCGTTTCATGCGCGTTAACAAACTGAAACAGTGTTTTTTGTATTATTGTTGTATTGTAATTTATTCATTGTACTTTCTTGCATTATTATTGTACCTTCATCTTTAGTTAAAGCATCGAGACGATGCCTTTTTCAGAGGGGGGCAATGCCACGTTCCATTTCCCAAGCTTTTGTTATCGTCCCAAAACACCACACGATTCACAGCGCAAACCGCGCCTGCAGTTTTCGAGAGGGTTCCGGACTGTAGTAGATCATTTCGATAAGATCACGCCCACTGTGCGAATGGTACAGATTGTTCCGGAACGTACGCCGCCGCCAGCGGTAGCGCTAGAACATTCGACGGCGGGAGTATAAATGCCAACGCGCTTCGCCGCTTGTCAGTAGTTGATCGAAGGCCGACGCTCCGTTCGCCGCTATCAGTCTGAGACTGCTATCTGTGCGAGACTGCTGCAGTAATTGGACTTTCTGTTTACCGGCACAGGTTCGCCCAAATAAACAGTTAAAATCCCAACACGAAGTCTCCTGTCTTCGGCCACGTCACGACCCCGTGACAATATCATAGTGTGCATGTTGGCAGGACCTAGATCAGTTTATCACAGACGTATTAAATGTTACAAATGACTTTTTTTTTTCTAACTACAAGTACACTTTTCGAGCATATTTCACGCTTTCGTTCTTTATTTTCGTGCATTACTGAATATTTTCAGCCCTCTGAAACGAAAAAAAATGATTATTTGACGAGGTCGCAGGAAATCGGCAATTTAAGTTAATTCTCTGAAATTATCCGCGCTCTGACGTTTTAACATGAATGCTAACTAAAAAAAATAAAGTAAAATGTAAGGTAAAACTAAAAAAAGAAGAAACGAGACAAAAGGTTAGGTAAGTTCTATTATCCACGAATTAAAGATGGAGAGGTTCGCCTACCACAGCGCCCAAGAGGCCACTCTTGCAAACGTGGGTGATTAATCGATCGATACCCACAAAGTACGAAGCACGTAGGGTTCACTCTCTTGCTACTAGACTGGTAGCCCGGTATTATTATTTATTTTCGCTGTTCTTTTTATTCGGCATACTGTTGTTATGTCTAGACCATGGGTGGCATGAAAATTGCAGCAGTCGCACTGAGACAGCATAGCGCCGCAAACGCACGTGCCCCTCCAAGGACGTCTTCTGCTTAGCCTTTGGCAATGTACTGTGCACGGTCTTGAACTCGGTTCTTTTTCAGAACCACCTCACGGAAGCTTTGGTAGTTTTCATTTGAAAGTACTAACATTGGAGCCATTGGTATATGCAGTACAGGTGAGCAAAATTATTCCATAACTTTGAAGATAAGTCCAATATCCATTCGAGTCATTGAAGTGATTAGTCCCTACTTGGCTTTACCAACGTTGTCTACTTAGTTTGCATGCATTGTATATCAGTTAACTGTACTAAATAAAACAAAAAGTTGACGCGCACACTCTTTTACGCCCGATGTCACGCTTACTAACCGTTTACGGGGTGTTGCGAGCCCGGGAATCAGCCTACTGTGCGGCTGTTCTAAATACGTCATTTGAGATGATAATAAACAGGCTTTAGGATGTATAATACATACTGACTGAAACTTGCCTACCTTATTAAATGGCATGCGGTCTCTCTTGCATTTGCCGGCCTGGTCATCTTTTTGTTGACCGACTGTAATGATTGTACGTCATAGGGTGACGTCATCAAATAATTTCTCGCGTCACTCGTGCTGACGCCGACCCTCACTTTTCGTGTTCGAGGAGTCTAAGGCTTTTGCCTTAAGAATAGAAGGTGAACACCAATTCACAATAATAGCGAGAGAAAGTCTACTGGCGATTCGAAAAGCGCTCGATATTAATGACGACTTGACTCACTCCCGGCACCTTTCTATCCGGTCTCAAAGTTATCATTCGTACAGCTCTCACTGCTGTTGCACACAACGCCATTGTAGCGGCGCAATAGAAGCAGGCCCAATGGCTCTATCCCACTGTACAGCCAACCGCCTCCCCCTTCTCTTTCTTTCTCTCTCTTCCTGTGGCGTCGTTCTAAAGCTTCCCTCCCCCAGCTAAGGCCAGCTCACTCATTGAGCCCACTTAGCGCGGCGGGTGAAATTCACTCAACGCGCCTTTAACGAGATCACGCGCTCGGTCACCGCAAGTGCAACATCCTCCCCGAACGAAAAGACCCCACACCACGCGGCGAAACAAAACAAAACGAACAAAAAGGCCGTGCAGAAATTGACGCTTTCACACTTCCGTCCTGCATCATTGAAAGTACGATAAAAAGACAAACGCCTACTGTTCCGACGTGTTTGCACTAAGTTATGGAAAAATTAAACGGCATAACGCCTCGTAATAGGCCGTTATCGAGAGCTGTGTCAAACTATTTCCGTCATCTGATACAGCATAAAAAAACCTAAATAAAGGTCAGTTGAAGACAACGAGGAGTTTAATGAGCTAAACTACTTGTGTCATTTACACTGTAGTATACGTCACAAGTATGTCACCGTGCTGTAGCTCTTGAAAATGAAGCCTCATTGCTTTTCTTTTTTCTTCTTTTTTTTTCTTGTTTAGCCTATGAATGAGCCTTGTTAAGGACACTTGAGGATTCATCAATCCGCCTATGCTAAGATGGGTGGGTCTCTTTAACTCGATTCCTACTGAAAAACAGCGCTATATGAAAAAAAAAACCGACCAACTTCAACTACGCTGGAAAATAAATAAATGGGCAAATGACGTCAGTGGTAACACGTTCATCAGGATGGACGTACGGGCGTCAGAAGGATCCTTTTCCTTAGTTTTTTTTTAAGTGAAAATACCGGATCAATACGGATGCGAAAAAAAAAAAAAACGCAATCGGGCCAGCGCTGGCGCCTCTAGGGTGCCGTTTATCCACTTATTATTTTGTTTTCATCCACACGTTTCTTTACACTCGGAGCTGTCATGTCATGTCTGTGGAAGAACTGATCCGGGTTTCGTGAGACACTGTCGTGCGGTTTCTTTTATATTAATCAAACATTTAAAAATAATTAAACAAACGAATAAAAAACGTAGACTTGCCAACTATTCAGGAAGTATCAAGCCCATCATGGCATTTCAAGGCTTGCACAATCACTATTTTTAACGAAGATGTCTTTAACAGCTAAACTAAAGTGAGAGAATGGACAAAAAAAAAACGCAGAAGACCCACCGAACTACCAAGTGAGCCTTACTTTGGCTCACGCAGTTACATATACAGCGGCCATGAGCAAATAAAATAATGGGAGAAAGCCTCTAAAGGTGGGCCTCGTATCTATTATACACGTAAGCATGCTTCCCTAATACGCGATCATGAGTAATCCACCGAAAATACACGTAATGCGTCTCGTTATTTTTTCAGGAATTTCGAAATCACTTTCGTAATCATCCAACTATATTCGTTTTAGCACCCCCCCCCCCCCCCCCCTGTTTTTAATTTTTCTTTTCACTTAAGAAGTATATCTCCTCTATAGTATGTGTCCTGTGTTTGTGTGAATCCCTCTTGATGAGCTTTCTCTGTGGGCTCACTTTGTGAAGTGGTCCGCTTAGACCCACCACAGTATATACGCACCGCCTAATCGAAACGTTCCTATACATCTCAACGAAGTATCCAAACAGGCTATATTAATGGATATTAAACTACATTTAAGTTTACACTCTCAATCGTGTTCCGCGTAACTTTCCAGATATAGCCAGGAAGCTCGACATTTTCCGGCTGGTTTCCTGGTTATAGCTTGCACTTTAGTCGAGATTCGATTAAGAATAATACGCAGTCGCGTTTTCCGTTTGAATGCTCATGCAGTCAACAAAATAAAAAAAATAGAGGAATACTTACCTTGTGCTCGTTTCGGAGTCAACTGCTGATGTCGATTTCGATTAGAAGCCTGCGAGAAAGCAAAATAAATAAAAATTCAATGTTAGAAAACCTCGACGCTGGTAAAGAAGGAGGAAGAAAAACAAGAATGATGACATTCACATTTGGTTCGCGAAAGGATTGCGGTGTAGTGTTCCTATGAGGCGCGTCACATCTGCACTAATCACGCACTTAGAGACGGGTCGAGTGCTATAGGGAACATTTGCGTGCAGCGAATGTTCGGATCTCGCTTCTTAGGGGCTACGATTTGCATAACACTATACTGGTGGTTGGCAGTTCTGACTTGTTCTAACAGACCAGTGCCGTGGGAGACAAGTGCCGTGTAGTCAGACTGTGCACAGTATGTGTTCCTGTTAGTGTGTAGTGCACGACAGACTAGTACCGAGACTCATTTTGACAGACTAGTGCTATGCTAGTATACCTACCAGTTAGGGGGGCGATGATATGAAAGTTTCTCATTCGAGTGGACTCTTTTTACAGTGGGACGTTCTATACACAGTACACAGTTTATGCGAGAGAGCAAATACATGCAACCGAACGTGTCGAGCCGATTTCTTGCTGCGTCATGCAATGAATGAACACAGGCTTAGCAGTGCCAGTATATTTACGCTGGTGTGTCCGGCATCGTATAAAAGATCACCAGGACAATAACAGCATTTTGCACTGCTAAGTCAAAGGTGACGGGCTCGACTTTGACTCCAGTGGACTAATTCAGATGGGGCGTAATGCCTAAAAGCTAGGAGTATACTTATATCTAAAAGTACACTTCCAAACTTCATCAAGTACTCAAAATTATAGTTGGTAGTCCATCACTACGGCGTGCGTCTCGTAATTATGTCGCAGTTTGAGCACATGATGCTCCGAAACATCAATATTTAACATTTTCCATACGAACAGTCACTCGCGAACGAAATGACAGCATATATATTATCATGTGATCTGTATAATTTACGACGAAATCACATTCCTAAACCATATTTCAGTACAATTACATTACTAATTATATTCCAGAAATTTGCATGTAACTAAACGACATCGCAAGTTACAGCTGGCCGAAAGTAGGAACATCACATTACTATTATTTTTCTTTTTCATTTTTTTATGAAAACACTTGTCAGTTGTTTATCATTCATGCTCTAACTCATGTACACTTCATTGGCAGTACGCATACACTGATATATCAGATATTGAGGTTTGGCACTCAAGTAAGACTCAGTCCCACGCTCGAAGTATGCCACTCAGATTGATTTGTCTTAGTTGTTTTCTTTTCCTCCTTTTGGTTCACCTTTTTTTATAGAAGCGAAGCGAACCGGCTATATTTTAGTCTGAGGTAATTGGTATAGTGTTATGAATAAGTTTCGTGGAGATTATTCGCACGACGTAATTTATCACATCACCAAATTACCTGCCCACGAAATTAATTCATTACGTCATTCAGAAAAGCAAAAAAAATGCAATTTAATTACCATAGTTTCACTACCGCAATGTCCGCACTGTATGCCACACCTGTTGTCTCGCGCGACCGCCGCTCGCACACAGGCGCGTAATTCAAGCTTACTATCACGAAAACGTTTTGCGAGGTCAGGCCAGCGCTTTGCTAGTGTTTCCGAAACTCGAATCACACGAATAATTGAGCCTATATAGGTAGCAACCTTACGCCTGTTGTCCTCTTAGCTCGTTCGTTTCGAAAGTCAGCATGCAAGGACGCCGCGACGCACGGAAACTAAGATAAAAAAGGAATAAAACAGTCGGGACCGCACAATTTAAACTGCGTACGTATCGTGTTTCGTTCATCAGGCTTCTCGAAGTCAGGCAGAACGCAACGGCGAACCAGATAACAGGCACGACACCACTGTGTAGCACTGCAAAGTTATACAGTGTCGTACGTAGCAACGTTAAATCGTGCCTCGCCGTTTTCTAGCGCGCTCTTGCCATCAAGTGCGGGACCACTGATCAAGATCTGCGTGGCGTGTGGCAAACGCAGATTCGTCGAAAGATTTGGAGTTTCAATAAACCTATGAGCGTGACAAGGCGCCTATCGCGGAGCGTTGAAACGCGCTGTGCACGCAAGCTCGCCCATAACAGTTCTGTAGAGGTACCGGTGTCGGGCATTAAGACTTGCATGAAGAATCAGACGAAAAATGGCTCCGGTGAGTTTACGACTTCGTTGAAAAGAGTTGAGGTCAGTTTTCGCCACTATGTATTTGTCCCTTGTAGGTTATAGGCAGCGTATCTGGAAAATAAAAATATTGCCCGTGTCTCCAAGACTGGTTATTGGACGTGTGCCAGGTCATGCCGCGCCTAGCGTGAGGCCAGTTTTTATCGTTCGTCATTGAAGTAGGGGCGTAGTAGTGCTTGTATACGAAAACTGTATTCGTGCTAGGCATCGGTTAGTCCCCAGATTAGCTGATAAAGTAAGTTATTTGGCGAGAAAAGAGACGTTCGTTTGTAGACGGAACGTGATACAGTTTGAGCATAACGGTATATCAAGATGAAACTAATGTATGTATGTATGTATGTATGTATGTATGTATGTATGTATGTATGTATGTATGTATGTATGTATGTATGTATGTATGTATGTATTGTTGCGAAGCGCCGGACCGATCCCGCCGAAGCCACCACTGTTGAGAAACGGCGGACCGATCCCGCCGAAGCCACCACTGTTGCGAAAGACGGCGACGCCAACACGGCCCCGGAGGCGCCACTGCTTTCAACTCCGCCGGGAAGGTCACCAGCCGTTTGGTAGCGTATGTTTATCAGCTCGCGACTGCTTCTGCGCAGAGCTGATAAGACGAGCGGACGAGACGACGGTGAGTTAAACAAGGTTTATGTACAGCATATATACAGAGGCGTTACAATTTCGGCACTGGGGCCGGCAGAGACTCGAAGAGCCGAGCTCCTCTCTCTAACACATAGGTCAGCCTTTCGCCTAAAACCGCTGACTCACACACATGTCGGCACTCCGACACGGGGACTCCTCTCCTAGGATCTCCGATCGCGACGCGCCGCAGGGCTTCTTTTATTTACACCGGGCCCAACTAAAATGTCCAATCAGAAGCGCCGCTGGTCTTCCGAGCAGGCTCCTCCAATGGGGTTCGCCGCGCGATGCGTCAGGCCACCAGACATGAGGACGCCGGCTCGCTGTCACGTGCGCAACTGACTCAATGCACGTGGGCCACAGATGCGCCGCGCGTGTTCACGCCGTGGAGTTGTTCGCGCCCGGCGGGCTGCGGGCTGGCCTTGACCCAGATTGCCTGTTTCAGAGGCACGGACGTTTGACGAGGACTCGCTGGCATAACAGCACCCCCGCCGCCAGACAATGCACCGGAAAGACGAGCTGCTTCCACGGGGCTCGGATGTCAGGTGCGCTCGTTCGCCAGGTCCCTCCAGGTTCGCCTCCAGGGCCATGGGGAGAATACAGCCCCAGACTGTTCCGGGAACACATCCCATCATTGACGACGGATCCCAGCTCCACTGGCTCGTCGTCACAACTTGCTGGCCAACTTCGCTCGTCTCTCCTGACCATCTTCGGTTTCAGCACTTGTCGATGGTTCTGCAACTTGCTAAAAACGGTTCGACAACAGACAACACACGACACAAGCAAGTGCCCTCGGTCACCCGACAGAACACCAGACAAAGTATAGAACAACATATACCTAGCTACGTGTCTATCGGAATTTCGTTCCCTCTACATCAAGAGGCACATGTGGGACACAAGACTCTTAAAGTAAGAACTTGAATTTTTTCACAATTACAACAACGCAATGATTTAGAATACAACATACAATTGGCTCCTTGAGCTCACTCTGGACGAGAGCGCTCGGCCCAGGTCGTGATGAGGTCAAAATTTTGCCCCGAATCGCCAGCCAGAAACCGAAAGGTTGAGAAGGTACTAACTAAACGCACTGCTCAATGCACCTGCATTAACGTTTACCTTTCCCTTTTTTTTCTTTAGCGAACGTCAAAGTTGCGCTGTGGAGCAACATGCTCCACCTCAGTAACCGGCCACTTTTAGGCGACGATATCTATGCGGCACCAAGAGCGGCTCACACTTTCGACGTTGCACAGGGGAACAACGATACGGCTTGCTACTGATTGACTCCTCACCGCTTAGCTCGATATCGTGTTCGATCACCGTCGTGTCTCCGGGACGGTCCGACAACACATACCCAAACTCGGAAACAATCTTTCTCAGGTCCTCTTTCTCAGGTCCTCCTTCACTTAAGCTAGGCTCTAGGTTTATCTGCTCCCGGATTACTTTCGATCCCCCTTCGATCACCTCACTAGAACTCAAATTTTCTGCTTCCTCTTCCTCTGAAGCATTCAACAACAGATTTACGACCGCTTTCAAGTTACTGTGATAAATTTTGTTCGGCCGCCTTCCTAATTTCTCTTCACAATTTGTATAAGAAAGCTTCGATACTACTTTCGCGGGCCCTTCCCAATCAAACTCAAGCTTGTTCTTTTTGAACGGCTGCAGCAGCATTACCTGACTCCCTACTTCAAAAGCACGCTTCTTCACCGATTCCTCGTAGTGCTCCTTCAACAGCACTTTTGCCGCGTTTTTCTGGCTTTCCACTAGCGCTTCAATTTGGCTTTCCACTAGCGCTTCAATCGAGAGATCCTCACGCTGCCCTCGAATGAGCGTCTCTCGATCAACTCTCGGCAGCTCGCTCCAACTTTCCGCTACAGGCGAGAGCGTTGCAACCCTCTCGCTCTGACTCAATGGCGCCACGTCGTCTCCCCTTTCTCCGGAAACCGCGCTGGTCGTGTCGGCGACGGGCCGCTCGCGTGACTGCTCACATGACTCATGCGGAAACTTTCCTTTCTGGGGTTCCGTCGACCCGCCGACAAGGTCACTTGAGAGTTCACCGCCTGGAACCAGATCAAGCTGCCGCGATAGCTTCCGCGCTTGCGATCGCGTGAGAGCCATGCACGCTAAGTCAGGGAAGAACGATTTGCCCTGCTCTTTGAGAAGCTGCTCCGAGTTGTTGGAGAAAAGATAAG